AAAAGAAAATTCTTATGGGAAAACAAGTTGGCAGCCACAGAGAATACACGAAGAAAAGCGTGTAACATGTTGCACGGTCTTAGATGGCACGAAAACATTTGTCCATGTTGTGCAATTCAAGAGAAGCCACTGTTCGGAAAATTGTTTCCGATGAAACGAGAAAGACCCGGCCAGAAAGACAAACCGGAGAAAAAAGGAATTCCAAAAAACTGGAATTTCAAAAATTCAAAAGAAGACGAGTCTGATTAAGATTTATCAGACAGGGAGGCCCACCAGCAAATTAATGGCGGGACAAGGGAAAAAGAAAGATTCCTCCACCAAAGGAAAAGACAAGTTTTTCCGAGTCAGCTCCACATACACCATGTGACCGACAGAGGAAAGTGGGTTCAATAATTCTCCAAACCAGACCCATCAACATGTGAAGACAACAAGGCATTTACCTACCGGTTGGTACAAGCAATAATAGAGGACTCCAAGACCTCTATAAATACAAGATTTGGAGGAAACAGAAGACATCGAACATCCTCTTCAGTTTTCTCATCAAAATAAAATTCTCTGTAATAATAGTGTGTGAGCTTGTGTGTCTTTTAATTTTCTTTGTAATTTTTATGTGTGTACGAGTGTTTGCCTCTAATATGAGAGGCTAAAAGGTTTTCTCCTCCCTTAAGGAGATTACTTATGTAATAAAATCACTTTGAGTTCTTAATAAAAAAGAGGCTTTTGCTTCACAACATGTTGTCGTAATTTTCATCTATCTCCATAATTAAGTATCTGTACGCCTGGAGTAGGAAACGAACCAAGGCTGTGCTGAGTGGTATCTGAAGGAGTCGGATAACTTGTAGTTCATCTTCCCATTGGTGAAGTTAGACGGTGAGGAGCCGTCCGTGAAAGGAACTAGGGGCACTAATTTTTCGACTGGTGGAATTGCAACCCATCTCACCCGGAACCATTTTGGTCAAAAAATGTACGAAAATTATGGAGTTATTTAATTTTACGGAAGCATGTTGGGCCTGGTATTGTTCATTTTATTGTGGGAACTCTTTAAGTGGAAAATTCAGGTACAAAAGCTTGGTACTACGTATCAATAAAGTTGGTACTATTCTCTTATTAAAGTGGTACGATTCCAAAATAAACTGGTACCAATTTTCTGGACTTGAATAAAGATAAGGGTATTGTGGGAATACTAAGAGGGTTATTATTTTATTGCAAGTGGGAGGGAGTAAAGTGGAAGAAAATTAGAGGAAGGGACTGAACTGAAAGTTGAAAAGGGGTCTAGGTACTTTTATAGAATTTGCCCTGTGATTTTAATGAGAATTTTGTTTCTTTTGATATTCGAGCAAATCCTAACGAGTATTGACGAATTTTAATCTCAAATAAATTAAATACCTCAAATTTGTATAAAACTTTAAAATCTCAAATGAATATCTAAAATTTTTTAAAAATTCTAAATTGAGTAGATCAGAATTTTTAAAACGTTAAAAAGTCTTTAGAATCACATACGAATACACCCATACATTAGTAAAAATAATGACATTCACAAAAATTATAGGGAAAAAAAATGTGAGGTCGTGCCATATTGATGACGATCATACTTTTTTGAGTATTGAATGAAAAAATATTACTACCTCCTATTTTAAATAAATGCTGTTTTGGGATATTGCACAATTATTAAAAATATTTTTTTGTCAATAATAACCTTATTTAATGAAGATAGAGATGAATGTTTTGAGAAAAAGATGAAGAGTGATTATGAAAAGACGTGATGTATTTATTAGCTAAATGAGGTACTAATGGAAAAATATATACAAAATCTCTAAAATGATATTTATATACCAAATAGTTGATAAATCTAGAATGACATTTAAAAAAAATAGGAGGGAGTACATTTTTTAAAGCTTTCGGTAGGCAGATATTCCAAAACGTAAATACTTTGACGCTTAATGAAAACCGTAAAATACTTACGTGCAGTAAGATTTGATAGGTTCCTCAATGTCTAGTCATATACATATCCTCCCTATATAATAATAATATATATAATTGTTGAATGCGCTGAGTCTACGTGGCTGTTTCTGGTGTTTCGGAATCCTATTTGGCGAAGAATCATGATTCGTAATTAGGTTTGAACAAATAATATTGATATACTAATAATTATATGTTTTTTAAATTAATATACAACACAAGTAAGTCACACAAATAAAAAATATCATAATAAATATATAATAATATATATATTCTTATAAAAGGTATTTAAATTTTCAAACTACTTTTTCTCATTAATTTTAAGTTTTAAGAAAAAAATTAGCAAGCACCCGTATAAAACACGGGTGTTAGTACTAGTTTACATGATAGAAGTTAAAGAAAATACACTGAAAGCTAATCCAAGGATTTTTTATACTAACGATGATAGTTCGATCTGCACGAGAAATATGACACCAATCAAATCAAAG